GCGTGGTGCGGAAGCCCTCAGTGTTTTCCAGCACGCGCGGCTTGTCGCCCTCCATCACAGCGACGCAGCTGTACGTCGTGCCCAGGTCAATGCCAATGACGTCGCCGGTCACCTTCGACGACTGCCAGCGAGCCAGTGACGCGGCCGCAAGGCTGCCTGCTCCGCGCAAACGACGAGCGAACATGTTTTCTTACCTTAATTACTCTCTTTTTTCCTTACACTTTTTCTTCTCACTTATTGCGGTGTATCTGCAAAGAGTGGCAAAGCCAGGCAAAGTTAGTAAAAATAGAAAAAGGAGGTGAGTGTGCAAGAGGTTGCGCATTGGACACATGGAGAGGAACGCCAACCAAAGCCTTCTTGATGAGCGGCCTGCTCGGGAGCAGCGCACAAAACACAACCTTTGACCCGACCGACAGTCGGGTGCAAAAGGGAGTTTGTCTGTAGAGTAGATCATGAGACGGCCTCTTTCCGTAATGAATACTGGATATTGGCACTGCCACTGGCATCCTGTTAATTTCACTCGAGATTTTCGTTAGGGTGTTCCTTCTCCGTCGGGTTTGGGCGAGACGGTCCTCCTTCCCCACCGCCTTCTTCGGATTTGTATGCGGTGCGATATCTGTCGCCCGCATCGTGTCTTATGTCTGCTACAGGGACTGCAATAAAATATGCTTTTTCATCTTGACAACATCCACGTAAGGTGGTATCTCCTCGTGGTACAGCTGCAGCACACGTCCCCAGTATGCCTTCGCAACCGGGGAAAAGAAAATACTTCGTTTCGCTCTTCCACCATAGGACTTCTTGTTTATAGAATTATGCGGTGATGAATTTAAGAAAAGCCAGTGCTCTTCTTCGGGGCACGCCATTCACGCGGTGAGCAATAAGGCGGGCAAAAGGGAATGGTGCGGCAAGGCCATTATGGCACCGTGATCATTTTGAGAAAACTCATTCATGCTTTTCGTTGCAAGTTTTCCAAACGTCTATATATATTTCTGAGGTACTAAGAGACAGAGTGTGTGTGGGGCGGTGAGAGAGTAGGGGTGAGGTGCATGTACTAAAGAAAAATTAATGCAGCTGCCAACAAATGAATCCAATGCCCAAAACAGCAAACATAAAATTCAAAATAAATGGATCGTTGATGCGGGTAATGACAAAAAAAAAATTCAATACTTCTCTTTCTGTGCTTCTATCCGTGAATTCACAAAACCTGGTGGTCCAATCGGTAATTGTGTGCGCAATTGTGTGTGTGTGTGTGTACAATTCTTTTAGTGTGGCATTGTGTCTATCTAAGCCATACACAGACACAGACACAGACAACAACAGCAACAAACAAACAAACAAAAAAAAACGCAAAATAAAACGTCGGAAAAAATTCTTTCATGATGCGCTGCACCCCTCTCGTGAAAATTCACGGAGGCAACATCACGACATGTGATGCGGCGCTTTCTGACGACGTAAATGCTCCCCACAGAGAATCCTTGCGAAGCAAAACGGAGGAGACACCCCATGACGAGGTCGCCACGACGTGCGGCAGGAGGGAATGTGCCGTCCAGTACATTGTTGGTGCTGGGCAGTCCCCGGAGTCAAGGAGTGTGATTTTGGCGGAAATATCGCCAGCAGCTATTCGGCCATGATGCATTGCGACGCAGCGAACAGGGGAACGTGTCTTGCCTGTGCCAAACGCCTCCTCCCGTAATTTGCTCACCAGGCAACGCATCACAAACACACGACCCCCCACAGTCCCCGCAACCAAGGCACGAGTATCCGGTGATACTGCGATGCTAGTAATTTGGTCTGGCAGTGAAAGCACAGTCACGGGGTCAATCCCGCAGCGCGCATCATATAGCATCACTTTGCCATCATAATTGGCCACTGCAAAGGAGTTTCTGGTAATCGCCACGGCCCCAACAACACGAGGTTTCGGAACGGCAAGGCTCAATCGCACCACAGACCGTTCCACGTCTATTGCCTGCACGCCCACTGGTGACGCACTCAGCAAAAGGGACGGCTCATGCGGCACTTCCTTCAGGGACAACACCGGTGCCTCATCCTGAAAGTTGTAGCATCTCACTACCGATCGGGACGAACGTGAAACGACCGCAATTCCCCCCACGGATGACCCAACAGCCAGAGACGAGTCTGAGGACAAAAAGCAGGAAGAAACAATGGGATCACCACCAATTATTTGATGTGGAAAGCTCTCCAGTTGCGCTACATACCGCGTGGGCGCACCGCAGGAGCTGTCCATATTAAAAATATGAGTTCCGTTCATGATCGTGCTTACAAGGCACGCATTGGTGGCATCGCCGTACGCCATGGAGGAGATACGGCCTTGGACCTCAAATCGACAGATGGTACCGTCATTCTCCGCCATCGCTGTCAGTCTACGCCTCAAATACCCTCCACTCTTTCGGCCTCCCACCTTCTCTTCTTCCAATGGAAGCAAAGAAATAAAAATAAAAATAAAGAGTCCAGATACACATGCAAAGATAAGGTTTATAACCTGCCACAGTTGTTTATTACAAAAAGAATTGTTTCTTCTTTGCTTCGCTTTTGATTTCTTATTCATCCTTTTTTTTTGTTTGTTTGTTTGCAGACGGGGTTACACAGTTAAATATATGCATTTCTTTCGTCATCACTCAGTCGTTTTATTGAGGCAAATGGGGAATATCATTCGAGTCCGGTCAACGCTTTTTGAAAAATTTAAACGGATACAACACGATGCCTACGCCGGCGCCAATGGCAACTGCAGTCGGTATGTGAATAGGCGCATAAGCGAGAAAGCACTTTGTGTTAAGACGAATAAACTCCCTCCGACGCTCACGCCATCTTCGTTCGTTAAACACTGCCCACATACCCGGGTAAAAGAGATGGGAAAGAAGCAGACACGATAATCCTGGCACCTGCGCTGTGACTGGACCGAGATAGGGCATAAAGCCCTTCTTTGCCTTTTCATTCGTAATACGTGGCTCGATGAGAAAAAAGTAGGCGCACCAACTGGCAATAAAGTTCACATAGAAGAAGTCGCTCATCATGCGAGGGATAAGCGACTTCTTTGTGTCTTGCGTCTGCGAGAGTTTCAGCAGCGGGGAGGAAGGGATGGAGACACAAAATGGGATAGCGAACAGTGTCGCACAGATGGTCGTGCGTACAATAAGTTTAAACGTCGAGTGAGTCCCCACGTTCAGCTGGTTTTCTTCACCCCGCGACAACTTCTTTGGCGGCGGCTCAATGTACGACATTTCGCCTGTCCTCCCGCACACACATGAGACAGATGGCCACTACCTCCTTTTACTAATTTTGGGACTATTCGTTTGGGCTTCCTTAATTCTTTCCAGGTGCGGCAAACACACCGACAGTAAAAGGGACGGAGGCAACTGCAGTCAACAGAAAAGAGAGAGAACCAAAGAAGGGAAAGAGTGCACTGCCAAAACAATGTTCACAATAATTTTCAATGCAACCACACGAGACCCCTCTTCCCTCTCCAAGTGCAGAAGGCGTATAAAACACATCGTCGACAATCACACCCCACCATAGTGGGGATGACGCAAAAATAAAAAAGGAAAAAGCACAAACAAACATAAAAAACTGAGACAATAAATATAAATAGGAAACACACACATACACACACAAAGACACACGCAAGCAAAGAGAAAAATAAGCAGAAATCAATCAAAGCCATCTCCCCGCAAGACATTGCACCAGTGAAGCGCTTGATGACTGTGACACTCAATTTCATCAGTGTCAATAAGTTCTGGTGAGACGTCAATAACTCTGCTGGTCTCCTCGGTCCGTAATTCCAGCTGGTGAATACGATAATGCAGCGACGTGCCTGTCTTCTCACTAAAGAAGAGTGCAATATACGCATTCATCAGCACAACACGACAATCGTGCAGCACGCGTTGCGTGTTAAATAGAACTGAGAGTGTCCTGTCCGGTGTTGATGTGCCCATGTGATGTTGTGTAAGTTTTCTTAATTTTTTAGAGCACTCTTCAAGTGACTTTGCCTCCAGCGCAATGCTACGCTTATGATTGTCCCACCGTTCAAAACAGTCAAGCAAAAGGTCCTTTCCGACCTTTTTGTCACTACGACTTCGCTTGTTGCAGCTGTAGTAGCCGGCGTTGTGCTCCGACCAGGGACCCAGGCAGACCCAGCAGTACTCATGATGGCAGCGAACACATGTCATATGATTGCAACCCATGTTTTTCTCCACACGTACTGCACAATTGGGGCATCCCTTCGTCATCTCTTTGATAAGTGCAAGCGAGGGCTCATTCTCTTGCAGCATCCTTTCCCAGCGCTGCATCATATCACATGTCGCCGGGGCGTGGGGAGCACGAAGACAATTAAAGCAAAACTTCAGCTTACACACATGGCATTGGACTTCTAGACCCGACTCTCGTATGGCCTTGACGCATATCACCCCCTCGCAAGTTGCCTCGTTGGGGCAACAGCACATGTGTCTGTTGCTAATAAAATAATCATTGAGGAAACGCCGCTGGACCTGACCGTAATCTCTTGCTGGCAAAAGCTCTTTAAACAGATTCAACCCCACCAGACTGTGGCACCCACGTATCGGGCACCTTTTGTCAAGTAAGTCATGGCCATGCTTGACCGCACAGAGAAGATTTGTTCGCAGGCAATTGACACATAAAAAATGACGGCAATTTCCAAGGGCCACGCTCTCCTCTGCGGACACATCATCACCGCATATGGGGCACTCAATCGGTTGTTCGCCCCTTATCAACTCCGCGCCAGCACCACCACCATGAAAAGCTGCCTCCGTAATTCTTAGTTCACTGTTGACTTTATCCATGTCGTTAAAATATTTCTCAAGCGTGGCGTCATTCATCTTCCAACCGTAATGGCGCAAAACAAGTAAAGCAGCCTCTGGCGTAAGGCCGAGAATTTCATTCACCTTCTCAACGTCTCTTTGCAGATCCCCTAAAACTTCACTTATTGACAACGTAGTAAAAAGCCATTCCTCTGCACGGGCACCCACAGGCCGCCACACAACCTCCGCGGGTGACACCAGCGCCCATTCACCGCCGTTGCCTTCGTATTCTACCGCGTATTCCTCACTGTCGTAGTATTCTTCTTCCACGTACGACATTCAATCAAACAACCGCACTAAAAAAAAAAAAACACTACAGGGAGTTTGGTTCCTACACACACACACACACACACACACACACACACACACACACACACACACCGCCTGGGTATACTTGCAGGTGCGCCTATTTGTATTTATATATATATGCGTGCGGGATCAGCGGTCTCACAAACAAAACAAGCAAACAAAAGCGCGGTCAGAACCCCCCGATCACTGCACACACACACACACACACACAGAGAGAGAGAGAGATAGAGAGAGAGAGAGAAAAAAAAAGCGTAAAAAACACACACAAATAATACAGCACTGAAACTATCACAAGTCCCACCACGAACAAACACCTACACACAAAAACGCATATACGTTCCTTCAATTCCCAACAGGAACCGCAACAGTACGACTCTGGTTCTTGCAAAGAAATTTCGCCTCATCATTTTAACCCCTTTATTGTTTACTAATAAATAAATTAAAAAACGAGGGGAGGTGCCACACCCATATCCCACGTAAAAATTTTTTTTTTTTCCTCTCCCCTTCATTCTCTCAATTAACCATCATTTTTTCCTTTCTCACAGACTCACCCCTCGCAACTTTATCGGAGAGCCAAAGACCTGCCCATCGACCACCGCTTATACCAAGCCACATCACTTGGACTAATGCGTGGTCTCACCTTCTGCAGGGCGGCGTCAACATCCTCCCGGGTGATGTGTGCGGCTTTTGCATCCATCGTCACTCGAAGAAATGCCGCTTCCTTCACTACTGCAACAACTTCAGCACCGCTATAACCCTCCGTTCTGTTGGCCACGTAGTCGGCATCAAGGTCCGTTGCAACAGGAATGCGAGAGAAATGAATGCTGACAATCGCCCGGCGTTCTGAGACATCTGGCAACCCAACGTAGACTTTTCGATCAATACGCCCGGGCCGCAAGACAGCCGTGTCGATGTTGTCGGGGCGATTTGTCGCCGCCACAAAAACAAGCGCGTCGGATTTTTCGTTCAGCGCGGCGGGAAGTCCATCCAATTCGGTAAGAAATTGCGAGATGACGCGGTCCGAGACTCCGCCACTCCCTCGGTGCGCGCACATGCCGTCAAGCTCATCAATAAAGATGACACATGGAGCCACCGCACGTGCACGCGTAAAAATGTCTCGCACTGCCTTCTCACTGTCTCCAACCCACTTTGAGAACACCTCCGGCCCTTTGACGGAAATAAAATTCATTTTGGATTCGTTGGCAAGGGCTTTGGCCAGCATCGTTTTGCTGCACCCCGGTGGCCCATACAGAAGAACACCTTGTGGTGGTGAAAGTTTGAACTTGCGAAAGATCCATTGCTGCTTTCCAAGGCACCACGCCACACAATCTTGTAGGGTCTTCTTCGCATCCTCACTCCCACCAATGTCGTTCCATGTTACATTCGGCACGGATACCTCAAACTGCTTCAGTGCAGATGGCCGCACCAACTTTGCTGCCGCCAGTAGAGCTTCATCCGATACGGCTACATTTCCCGTCATCTTGAAATTCTCCACCATAGCCACCTCCACCAGGCGGGCAAGGTCACACTGCGTGAAACCATGGGCTTCCTGCGAGACAGTTAAGAGGGTTTCCTCCGAAACGCTATCAAGTGCATCACGCTCCTTTAAACATGTTTTTAGACACACATATCGTTCCTCCGCCGATCCAGGCGTGAGCAGCGTCACACGTTTACCAAAGCGCTCAGGCGTTAATAAAGAGCGATCCAAGGACTCTGTTGATGTGGCGGAAGCGATAACACAAACGTCAAGACGACGCCCCCAAATGTCATCGAGCTCCTCTTTCAAGGTTGCCGCCACAACCGTTGCCGCCCACAAAGACCCTGCTGTAGAGCTGCCTTTGGTTCCGCAGATAAGGTGAAGGTCATCAATTAACACAGTTGAGGGCGCAGCGACCTTTGAACGCACAAACGCCTCACGCAACACTGTCGCTGTAGACACATCACTCATCTCTCCTTGTGGAAGCTCCTGAACTAAAATTGTCTCCACGTGACGACACTTCAGGGTTGCCGCGTCTCGACCCTCTTGATGAAGAAAGCGACTCTTACCAGTGCCAGATTCGCCTAACACCAAAACGTGTTGCAAATTGCATGTGCCCTTCAACAAATCTTGAGAGCTTTCAGAGCTTTCATTTTCAATATGAATTTCACAGCCCCCGTCCCGTATCACCGTACAATCCAAAAGAACACCTAACATGACCTGAATTTGCTTCTTCTTCATTTGATCCTTCACATCTGCACCGAACTGTACGCATTGAACCACCTCAACGTAAAATGGTTGTGTCGCAACACGCACGATCGCTCTCATTCCTCGGTAAACCAATCGGTTCCGGTACTGACGCCGGAAGGCAGAACGCACCTGCAAAAACGGGAACTTCACCGATCCTTCCAGCTGCATCGCAGCTGTTTCCTCAGGTGGATCAAAGGCTATCTCCAGAACCACTAAATCAAGCGGCACCGATGGGAGAGGTTGTTTCATCACAGACACATTCACCTGTTTATCGGCAAGGGCCGCAGCTACCTCGTTAGCAAGTTCTATGGTTTGTGCATGGCACGAAGAAGAAATAAATGCCTCTGCATACGCCTCAGAATTACCTGCAATAATATGCAGCACTGCTCCACTTACAATACCCAAGGCCCGAAATGAAGACGGAGAGAGACGTGCTTCGTTGGAAGGCAAAGAATTATTGGAGCGTATTTGCAAAGATAATGCCGCACCCGACACACCACTAGGCCCCATACGCGATGGGGTAGAGAGATCAAACGACAAACGAACCGCGCCTAATCCCGGATGCCCTTCGCGTCCTCGCTCTCTTGTCGGGTTTTCTTCCATTTTACCTGCCGACTCCCGTACAAAGCCCGTTCCATCCGCATTCGGCCGAATGGGTGGTTTATACCGTGCCTTCTTTGGCCCCATCCTATAATTTTTATTATACGCTACGGAATGAATAACAACAATAATAATAATAATAAAAGTGCACCGTAACAAAAAAAAAAAAAAAAAAGCCCACGCATCCACACCGCCACCAATGACAACAACAAAAGCAAAAAAACGGTCTCCGGAATTTTAGTAAAAATTTATATTTTCATCTCTTAAACAAATAATGAAATATTTTTACGTCTTTAAACAAATATTTAAAGAAAATAAAATGTATGAAAGATAGTACTTTTCTTGCCTCCTAAAAATCCTTTTTCCTCCCCTCCCCCCTTTGGCGGCTCATTGGGCATTAAATATGAAATATGAAATAACGGGTAAGACATATGCCGCCCAAAACCCCCTACACGGGGGTGCTCCCTTGTCGCCCTCCCCTGCCATCCCCTTACAATCAGTGAAAAAGGAAAAACACAAACGCTCCCGAAAAAATAAAAACAAATTTAAAACAAAAGAAGTAAGACAAAAGAAAAAAAAAAAAAAAAAAAAAAAAAAAAAAAGAAAAAGAAAAGGAAAGCCCCAGTAAGCGGCTGAAAATCCTTTTCATCTGCTTCTTCAAAAAAGTTTTTTTTTTTTTTTTTTCTCCATCCCCGCATTTTACCACCTTCGTTTCCCTTTCATCCCTTGCACAAGGAGCCGCGAAAAGTACTATCAAACAAAACCAATTAAACACCTCAAATAAAAAAACAACAACAACAAAAACTGAAAAATGCGTTGCCATCAATTCGGTAAGTAATACTAAAACAAAAATCTTCTATAATAATGCACAAATCCGCGCACAGACGTAGATAGAAAAATATTAATAACAAACGACAAACTAACAAGCGAGCACATTACCATCGCAAAAACAATAGGCACTCCTATTCTTACTGCTTCTGCTGATCACCCTGCTGCTGTTGTTCGCCCTGACTGCTGTCAGTGTTGCCGCTGGAGCTGCTGCTGTTCGCCGCGGCGGCCTGCTGGTATTCCGTGCGGCCGCATTCCATAACCGCCTTCTGCAACTTGTCCGTTGCCGCCGAAAGCTCGTCCTTCGTCACGTTGGGGTTCTCCATGGACTTGCGGAGCTCCGCGAGCAGCGTGCGCACATTCTCCTTCTCGGCATCGCTCACGTACTTCCACTCCGTCAGCTGGCGCTCCGCCGTGTTCGCCTGCGTCTCGGCATTGTTGCGCACCTCCACCAACTCGCGCTTCAGGCGGTCCGACTCCGCGTGCGACTCGGAGTCACGGATCATCCGCTCAATCTGTTCCTTGCTCAGGCCGCCGCTCGCCGTGATGGTGATGTTCTGCGTCTTCCCGGTCGCCTTGTCCTTCGCCGTCACGTGACAGATGCCGTTGGCGTCAATGTCAAACGTCACCTCGATCTGCGGCACGCCGCGCGGCGCCGGCGGGATGCCCACCAGGTCGAACTGGCCCATCATCTGGTTGTCGGCCGCCATCTCACGCTCACCCTGGAATACCTTGATGCCCACCTGCGTCTGGTTGTCCGCCGCGGTCGAGAAGGTCTGGCTCTTCTTGGTCGGGATCGTCGTGTTCTTCGGGATCATGCGCGTGAAGACACCGCCCAGCGTCTCGATGCCAAGCGACAGCGGCGTCACGTCCAGGAGCACGAGACCCTTCACGTCGCCGCGGAGCACACCGCCGAGCGTTGCCGCGCCGAGCGCAACGGCCTCGTCGGGGTTCACACCACGGAACAGATCACGCCCAAAGAACTGCTTCACCGCCT